GTGTGGGTCGCATCCTGAGAAAACTGACCTAATCTGCCCAAAATGCTGTGCATAACAAGCGGCTTTCTATATAGTAGTTTGTCATTGATGTCAGCTAGACCTTGTACATGTACTTCTAGAAATAAAGATATTATTATTATTATAACAACAGCAACACCTGACAACAGTAACAAATGACATCTAACAGTACCACATGACAACAGCAACACCTAACAGCACCATATGACATCATCTCCTAACAAAAGTAACACCTAACAACAGTAACAAATGACAACTTGGCAGCACATGACAACAGTAGCAAATGACAAATGATGGCAGCACATGACAACAGTAACAAATGACAAAACATGGCAGCACATGACAACAGCAACACATGACTATTCTGGGAATTCTTACATATATGATGGAATTAAAAAAAAGTCACGAATGCTGCTTTGCTAACTCAGTGAACACTTTCTTTATAAATCATACTCAAGCGATAATTTCTTTACTTCTTACGATAATTTTCTTGACTTCTTCATTAACAAATTGAAGGACGACCATTTAACTATAGATATAAATAAATCACGGTAACTAGCTCACACACTCCATGTCAACACAACAAGTAATGCTGTCTTTCGGGAACTACCTACCTAACCTGCTTAGCGCACGGCTCCAGGGTAGCTCTCCCTGAACAGGGCAAGCCTTAGCAAGACCACATATTTAGACTGGCAACACCAGGGGTGCTTTCAGCATTTGGCTTGTAATGGACAAGCGCAAACCTGCAAAAAGACAGAGTTGCACACCATCAGTCACTACCCCTGGAACCAAAGGTGTCTTCAGGTAGTTCTTCTGACGCCAGACATCCAGAGGATGAGCCACCCTATGCTCCAGTCCAGCTGAAGGTTCACCTCATGGTCCAGTCCCCTTTGTGTTGTGCAGACCACCTCAACACTGCATTTTGGTGGAAGCAAAAGCAGAGTAACAGATGGTGACCCCTTCTATAATATCCCGCAACAAAATTTAACGAATGGGGGGGGGGGGGGAATACCCGTTTTAAGTGAAATTAAGGAGGACGAGAGGAGCTGGGTTCTTAAGTCACTCAGACCATGCTAAATTGACCCAGCATCAGCCGACACTTCTGTATGAGTAGAGATAACCATCTTTGCAGTGAAAGACTAACGATCTCAGATTAGATAATAACTCAGGTAAACCAATGAGGCGACGAGCTCTTCTCTGAACTTCATTAAGAATTTTGTTAGAGGTAAACCTCCCAAGATCTGAGGGTGCTACCATGAAGATCTGCAGAAACTGTGTGTAATAACTTGTGAACCATAAGATAAGTTGCAGCATTGTCCCGAAGCTGGTGTCTCGACACCGTTGTCCCGACCCCTGTTATATGACACCATTCTTCCGACACCGTTGTTCTAACGCCTTCATCTACACCGTTGCCTCATCGCCCTTGTTCTGACACCGTACTACTCCGATACAACACCTCCTATCCAACACCGGCTTCGACTGCATCACCCTGCAACTAACAGACATTGCACCATCAACGGCCGTCTCTCTTGCTGTCACCAAGAATCGAACCGCTGCTGTCCGTGTTGTCCCAGTGGTACCAGAGACGGCGGTACTAGACAAGGAACAGGTGCGGGCGTTCTCAACGGAGTTGAGAGCTGCCTTGGACGCACCTGTTTACCTTCCCTAGGTGATAAAAACATCGCTTAGAAGCACTTCGCTACTCACCTACAATACTCCATATTTAGCAGACTAGCTGATAATATTCGTACTACAACAGCAAAAATGTAGATAGAATTCCAGTTAATTTTATCATTGCAATTGTTTTTTTTTCTGAATATTCTCAATATTCCCAATATCTTTACTGGCATTGTCACCGTTGCTGTTACTGTTATTATTGTTAATAGAATTATATTAACGACAGCAACATTATTAGCAGTAGTTGTTGATTATTAAGAGTAGTCGTTGAAATATTATTAGAATTAATTATAGTTATTAGTCTTCTTAATACTAGTGTTATCACCAGTGAGAAACTAGCATCATACAACGCCTGCGGAGTGGGACGCGATGAGGGTTTGATCCAAGGAAGGGACAGATAGTTTTAATTCTTATAGATCAAGAACCCCTTACCAGCTGGAAGGAATCAGCGTTAAATAACGTTATAAAATTAAGTGGCTCTTCAGGCAGTAAATTTTGGAACCGATACAATGATTATGGAGTCCACAATTCATTATATACACAGCTATTAGATTTAATAACTAGTTCGCAATAATAATAAAAAAAAATTGTATTGTGCCAATAGTCGCATCTGTGATGGAGTGCTGCTAGACAAGCTCTATGGACAATGAATATTCAAGAAAGTAAGAATGGTAAGATTTGTTAAAGATACCTATATACACCGAGATGTGTATGTCTCCTTGTATATCGACTGAGTTTACTGTAATCACTATTTTAGGGATTAATATATTCTTGACTGGTGAAATGCAGCCTTAATGACTCTTGCGTTGTTGACAGGCTATAAACCCAGTTAACCAACGAGCCAAAGTCTGGATGCTTTTCACAGTACATAAAATTTACATAAACCATAGTTGGATTTGGGAAGTTCCTTAATGGTATTTAGAACAAATGCTTTGGAAGCTACAGATGGTACAACAAACAGTACAGACTAAGGAGCCACCACGCTCCTTAGCGTCTCTCAAATACTATCTTCTCAAAGCAACAAATATTTTTTTTACGAAACCAGATTACAATTAACAAATTTTATTCCTGTAACTCATCAACTTGTATCTTGTTTACGCAAAATCAGAATAAGCATTTCAGACTTTGCTTCTTGTAATACATGCTCCTGACTTATTATTTTGAAGTTCTACTATCATCTTTCATATATATCAGAACGATTATAAAAGTATTTAAGTTTATTTACCAGCTTACTTTCTTTGAATGGAGTTTTAAAAAGGATTCAGATTAGACAGCCTAGCTTAGATCTTCTCTCCATTACTTCAAAGTCCAGGTAGATAACTTGGCTGGTACTATGGCTTTGTTTTTGCCAAAATAAAATAGCAGCATCATTGTTTCCTTTTCTTAGTCAGAGAGAGAGAGAGAAAGAGAGAGAGAGAGAGAAGAGAGAGAGAGAGAGAGAGAGGAGAGAGAGAGAGAGTGAGAGAGAGAGAGAGGAGAGAGAGAAGAGGAGAGAGAGAGAGGAGAGAAGAGAGAGAGAGAGAGGAGAGAGAGAGAGAGAGAGAGAGAGAGAGAGAGGAGAGAGAGAGAGAGAGATGAGAGAGAGAGAGAGAGAGAGAGAGAGAGAGAGGGAGAGAGAGAAGAGGAGAGAGAGGAGAGAGAGAGGAGAGAGGAGAGAGAGAGAGAGAGAGAGAGAGAAGAGTGAGAGAGTGAGAGTGAGAAAGAGAGAGAGAGAGAGAGAGAGAGAGAGAGAGAGAGAGAGAGAGAGAGAGAGAGAAGTACTTCTCTATATGTTGCTACAGGGTTCGAGTTTTGGCTTCGGGCCTCATTTCTCAACTTACCAAATTCACTCCTTTATAGCATCTTGGGCATTATCATACTGTTTCTTAAAGTTCTGTATGGAGCCTGCCTTCACCACTTCTTCACCGAGATCATTCCATTTTCTGACCACTCTATGCCTGAAGAAATACTTTTTGACATCTGTGTCTTTAGTTTCCAGCTGCGTTCCCCAAGTTCCCGGTTCTCGCCTCTCAAACAATCTGTCCCTGTACGCACTATCAATCACCCTAAGTATTTTGTATATCTTCCCTGGATCTTCTTTCCTTAAATGTTGTTGTATTCAATTACACAAGCCTCTCCTGATAACTTGTGCCCCTTAACTCAATAACAAGCATTACTGTGTGCTTCTGCCATTTCTTCAGTTTCTTAATGTTTCTTCCCTTGTTTGTTGTATACTGGTTTGCGTACTTCCAGATAGACCTGACGTAAGTTGTATAGTGCCCGGAAAGACTCTTTGTTGAGATTACTGAAGGCTACTCTAAGATTTGCCAGACGAGCATTGCCTGCAGAGATTTTTTGGACGATGTGAGCCTCCGAAGAAATGCTAGGCCGTTCTCTTTGAGTGAGGTCTGCAATCCCTGTTCCCCGAGACTACACACCGTGTCCTGTCTTTTGTCCCTTTCCTCGATCTTCATGACTTTTTATTTTCTGAGACTGAATTCAAGCATTTCCAATCTTGCAATTTGTCCAGATCCATTTCCAGCCTTTCCCTGTCCTCGTCTCTCTTATTCTTATTCAGTAAACAAGGATAAATCTGACTTAATCCCATCCGGAATATCAATCACATAAACCAGAAACAATACTGGCTCTAATACCGATCCTTGCGGCACCCTGCTTGTTACACTTCCCCGTTCTAGCGTCTCTTCACGAACTATCACTCTCTACCTCTTTCCTCCGAGGTACTCTCTGATCCACCTGAGTACGTTGCCTGTTATTCCTGGCTGCACCTCAAGTTCTTGCCTCATCTCATGTGGGCTACTGTAACACATGCTGTCTTGCAGTCTTTCACCGTAACTCATTTTTTTTTTTAACTTTTGACAGTCATTTCGTAGCTCTTTCGAAATTTTCTAACTTGTCATTTTTTTTTTGTCAAAAGTGGGCCCTACATTTTCAGTACATATATCATTTTTGGCTAAAGTTATGTCAGGACGAGTTCCCTTAGCACTTCTCCTTCCACATGTTGAACGTTATTCTATAATTTTCCAATGTGATATACAAGTTCTTCTCAACTTCATTTATATGATCTTTTTTTGTAAATAACTCTCCATCTAATACTTTCAAAATTTTGTTTCACAGCTTATAGTCTTCATGTGGCCTGATTTCGTTTCCTACCATTACCATTATATGATATTTATTTACATTAAATTCCACTATCCATTATTCCATGTGCTTAATTTATCCAGATCATCTTGTATACGAGCGCGCGCGCTCGGTGGTGTGTATGTTTGTGTACTCAACTATATATGATGGCAGGGGTCGATTCACAGCTCCTGAGTGTGTGTACGCACGTGGGTGGTTGCGTGTGCGTGCACAGACAGCTCATCATAGATATGAGGGAACGCTAGTGGAGAGGTTCAGTCAGTGGAAGGAACAACATGAAGAGAGACGTGTTACTCCTGGTGGCCACTCTTATTGTGGGGGCGCTGGTCTCGCTCTCCATGGCACAAGGTACCACTATAATACTGAGCAACACTACACGTACACTTGTTTATAATAATAAAAATAATAATCTTTATTTCTATAAGTACATATACAAGGTATATAGGCCTAGCTGACATCAATGACATACTACTATATAAAAAGCCCCTTGGTATACAGAGCATTTCGAGCAAATTAGATCAGTTTTGTTCCTAGGATGCAACCCACACCAGTCGACTAACACCCAGGTACCTATTTTACTGATAGGTGAACATGGACAACAGGTGTCTTAAGGAAACACGTCCTAATATTTTCACCCGTACCGGGGATCGAACCACAAACCTCAAAGCGTGAGGTGAGTGCATTAGCAACTGAGCTACGGAACACAGGACACTTCTCACATTTGGCCAAGTAGTGTGCACCGATGATGGGAAATAATAGTGTGTTTAGGGAAGAAAACAATAAAAAAAAATTAATAATATTATACTGCATTGGAAGCGCTAAATTCGTAGAAGTCATAATAACTGGACAATGTGATGTAATCTGATTTGATCTAGGGAAAGGTCGGGTCGCTTAAATATCCTGGATCAAGAGCCTTTCACCGGCGTCAATGTACTTCCCATTATTTAAAAATCAGGGATATAATTTTTGAGACAGGTATACGGAGTTGATAGTCACAAATATTACAAATAAGTTCAACAAATTATACTTAAAACATTAAGCAAACATTAAAATAAATAGTTTTTTGAAACATTTACGTTCATATAAACTTTATTAAACTATATAAACATATCAATACACATTTGGTTGTAAAGTTTCGCTCCTGGTCGATCCCCGTCCCACAAAGAGTGAAATTTAGTAACAAAACTCTTTATTTTGTACCAAAATCAACACAGTAATATGTCAAAACCTTGCCTAAGTTTAGGTTAAATAATGCAGTATAATTTACCTAACTTATCTAAGAATTTGCATAACTATATTTCACTTTGTCTGGTAAATACAAACTTCAGATAACCAGTGATGATTTTAACTAGTGAAGGTTTTAAATAGTGATGGTTTTAACCAGAGATAGTTTTTAACTAGCGATGGTTTTAACTAGCAATGAGTTTAACCAGTGATGGTTTTAACCAGATATGGCTTTAACTAGAGATGGTTTTAACCAGAGATGATTTTAACCAGAGATGATATTAACCAGTGATGGTTTTAACCAGAGATAGTTTTAACCAGTGATGGTTTTAACCAGTGATGGTTTTAACCAGAGATGGTTTTAACCAGTGATGGCTATACCTAGCGATGGTTTTAACCAGATATTTTTTTTTTAAATATTGCGAATATCAACTAAATCTTCGAATGGGCCACTCAAAACAATATGAAGTTCAACGAGGAGAAATTTCAACTACTCAGATATAGAAAACTTGAAGAAATTAAAAATGCATCAGGGTATACCACAAATTCTAACCATACAATAGAGCGGAAAAGTAATGTGAAGGACCTGGGAGTGATAATGTCAGAGGATCTCGCCTTCAAAGACCACAACAATGTATCTACCTCATCTGCTAGGAAAATGAAAGGATGGATAATGAAAACCTTCAAGACTAGGGACGCCAAGCCCATGATGATTCTCTTCAAATCGCTTGTGCTCTCTAGGCTGGAATACTGCTGTACACTAACGGCCCCCTTCAAGGCTGACGACATTGCAGACCTGGAGAGTGTGCAAAGAACTTTCACGGCACACATAAGTGCGATAAGGCACCTAAACTACTGGGAACGGTTGAAGGTCCTTGATCTGTATTCCCTCGAACGCAGGCGAGAGAGATACATGATAACATACACTTGGAAGGTCTTGGAGGGATTGGTACCAAACTTGCACACGAAAATCACTCCCTATGAAAGAAAAGACTCGGCAAGAGATGCAACATTCCCCCGATGAAAAGCAGGGGCGCCACGAGTACACTGAGAGATAACACAATAAGTGTCCGGGGCCCAAGACTGTTCAGTTGCCTCCCAGCATACATAAGGGGGATTACCAACAGACCCCTGAGTGTCTTCAAGAAGGCACTGGACAGGCACCTAAAGTCAGTACCTGACCAACTGGGCTGTGGTTCGTACGTCAGCTTGTGTGCGCCCAGCAGTAACAACCTGGTTGATCAGACCCTGATCCACCATGAGGCCTGGTCTCAGACGGGGCCGCGGGGCCGTTGACCCCCGAAACCCTCTCCAGGTAAACTCCAGGTAATATCCTCAAGCGTTTACTGGGTAAAATATTACATTCATGGGAAGGCGCTAAACCCGTACACATCACACAGTCCCTGGGGAATGGTAAGGAAGATCTCATTATACTCCGAGGAAGGTGAGAGGGTGTTTCTCTAATTCTTTTGATCAAGAACCCTCAGCCAGGATCAAGTCATCCCTCTTAAAGAGTCTTGTAAGAAGAAATGCGAAATATTTACAGGTTTTATCAAACTCCATTTTCTGCTACAAATCTCTGTACGACATCTGAAATTTGACATCGTTTATTTTACCGTTAAGACCTTTATTATTTGGACACCGAGTGATGTTTATATATGGATGTTGGAACTCTTAACTAGTGTTAGTTTGCCACTTATTACCGACAGATATAATACCAACAATTTTGATATTGTAGATGAATGGTTCAGAGAACCGACATGTTGATAAATTAGACACATGTGCAACTCTTGGGTATCTTTATTGAGGAAACGTTTCGCCACACAGTGGCTTCATCAGTCCATACAAAGGAGAATCTTGAACAGGAGGAGAATGAGGTAATCAGTCCCTCATCCTTGAGTCTATGTGGTCAGTCCATCAATCTTGAATAGAATACAGCATATGAGCGGAGAAGCAGCTTATATAGCGTAGGCAGGAGAGGTGCAGCAGTCGTAGATGGTGTCACATTTGTCCAATGTGGAAGTAGGTCGTGCCCAAGGGTTAGGATAAATGTGACACCACCTACGACTGCTGCACCTCTCCTGCCTACGGTATATAAGCCACTTCTCCGCTCATTTATTTATTTATTTTATTTATTTATTTATTTGAACATGATTCTATTCTATTCTATTTATTCAAGATTGATGGACTGACCACACAGACTCAAGGTTGAGGGACTGATTACCTCATTCTCCTCCTGTATGTACTGATGAAGCCACTGTGTGGCGAAACGTTTCCTCAATAGAGATACCCAAGAGTTGCACATGTGTCTAATTTATCAATTTTGATATTGCTGATATTAAAAGGTGTCCTTTTACTTAACATATTGTCCGTATTTCTACCACTATTAATACAATTTTGATATAAATTACAACCGAATACTGAACATGAATGTTAAGGTCAATAAAAAATATTGGCATTCTATATTGTAATATAATATGCAAGTTATATAATTATAATAGTTATTATATATGTAAATTACATTAATTATGATAATTTTAAGAGTACTAATGATGTTAAATATGTTAACTAACAGCTCCAATAATAATACAACAATAATATAAGTATTATTTTCATCATTGTTAACTACTCTAACAGGTGAATTCTTACGCCCTATTTCTTCCATTTACAGTGTCGTGTCCTGAACCATATATCCTGATTGGTAACACAACATGCCTGTATATCCCTCTAGACCAAAAGTTAGCTTGGTAAGTCTGTTATGAAATATTTTATATGTACTTATAAAAAATAGTGACGGATGACTAATTAGATTAATTTAAAACTGGGTAGGACTCGAGTCCATGTGGTCGACTGCATAACTTTACCACTGGGCTGTATAGCAGCGCTGGATTTGTATGATAATAATCTTGGTAACTGATAGCGATAAAGTGTTTTAAAAAGACACATGAGCAAACACTAGGACACATTTATCAGAAAACGTTTCGGTTCTGGAACCTTAACTTTCTATTAAATTTTTACACTGGATTTGTACACACGAAGGAACACGATCGATTCCTCAGCAGTTTTACAAGAATTTACAGTCGTCCGTTGCGAATTTTTTCTGAGTACTCTTGCACCTTGGATCAAGAGCCCTTCAACATCATGGCATCCTCTTAAAGGGAATGCATCTATTCGTAAGCATTAAGACTAAGTCTTCCAGGAAGTTCGGTATGAATAAGGAACTTCATTAATGCCTTGATGCTATTCAATCATCTATAATTACTAACATGCGAAAAATATAATGATTTGTGTGTGGAAAAGAAATAAATTCACTGTCTAATATTGTTTTTCTTTCACGTACGTGTGTGTGTGTGTGTGTGTGTGTGTGTGTGTGTGTGTGTGTGTGTGTGCGTGCGTGCGTGCGTGCGTGCGTGTGCGTGCGTGCGTGTGTGTGTGTGCGTGTGTGTGTGCGTGTGTGTGTGCGTGTGTGCGTGTGTGTGTGTGTGTGTGTGTGTGTGTGTGTGTGTGTGTGTGTGTGTGTGTGTGTGTGTGTGTGTGTGTGTGTGTGTGTGTGTGTGTCTGTCTGTCTGTCTGTATACAGGGACGACGCCAAAGACTACTGCATAACCCACAGTCCTCCAGGTTACGCGGCGGACCTAGCAGAATTTCTTGAGTGTGACGTGATGTCCAGTCTCTGGAACTACATTGCTTACAACCTGCGTGAGTGGCACAATATCACCTTCTGTTGTACTCTAAGCAACTCAGCAACGAGTACTGTTTTGTAATCTAGTAGAACAAGAACAATCATAGTGACACCTAATTACACCTTATGCTAACTGAGATCTAGAATATAATTTTGCCATTAAAATTGTTCTTCTTAATATAATTATTGGCTGTGTAATTGTCATTATCTTCCCATTAAATTAAAGTTCTAATATAGACAAGTTGATGAATATAAGACATGTACAACACCTGGGTATCTGTAATGAGAGATGGTTCAAGCCTACACACGGCTTGACAAAGCTCCTGGAAAGCGAAACGTTGCCACAATAAAAATGTCACATTAGTTGCACTAGTATTCTTTTACTTTACATATTGTCGGTAATTCTACCAACTTTATTATAAAAAGTTTTGTCAATGTAATGCTGAAGTATGAGGACAAAGACTTTTATAACGGAGTCTTCTCTCCGCTGACTCCACTCCAGAAGTCTCCGTCACGTGTGTATTAGATTAAAGTATAGGAGACAATACTCTGGCTGATATTAGTCACAAATAACCCACACTTAGGAGAGAAAGCTTATGACCACGTTTCGGCCCGTCCTGGCCCATTGTCAAGTCACAACTGAGAGCGGAAAAACAGAAAGGACTTGATGAGAGGTTTGAGAAAGGAGGGGGCAAGGGAGCTAATTTTACTGCTTCTGTTTCAACTACTAATGCATTCCTCCCACTCTTCCCTTCCTTCAACCTGTCTTCTGGCCTTCTCTGTTTTTTTCTCTCAGTCATGATCTGACAAAGGTCTAGGATAGACAGAAACGTTGTCATATAATTCTTCTCCTAAGTGTGGGTTATTTGTAAATCGCCTAGCGGGCGAAACGTCTCCAGATAAATCTACCCACGTGTTGCACAAGTGGTTTTTTAACAATACTTATATTTCCCTCATTTATACGACAGCAGCGCTATCACAAACTCCCACAACACTAAACTACTTTACTTTTACAGACAAAAGGACGAATTACTGGATTGGAGGATCAGACAGTGCTAAGGAAGGGACGTGGAAGTGGGTAAACTATGACACAGACGTGCCCATGGGCGTCCCATTCTGGTTCACAGGCCAGCCGGACGGAGGGACTCTGGAGAATCGCCTCACAGTGTCCGAGAACGGATATTTTGGCGACGGACTAGAAACCCAACAGTACAACTTCATCTGTAAACTCTTCAACCTTACAACTTCATCTGTAAACTTTTCAATCTCAATCCCTGAAAATTAAGTCGTCGGGTTTTGGTAGTGGTGCAAAGGCCGGGACACGACGACGGGTGGTGAAGACCAACCAAAGGGATGTTCAGGAGCTTGAGCACAACAAATTATTATTATAATAAAAAAAGAAGCGCTAAGCCACAAGGGCTATACAGCATGAGCACAACAAAGCGATGTTGCTCAGGTAACGCTGGTAAACACCACACCGTCGAACACTTGCCACAATATTTCAAATCTATGATTTATCTTTACGCCCTTCCGTGTAGTATCGTCAGTAAATAAGAAGCTTACATTAAAATTAAAAGGTGCCTCCTTGTTTTTTAGTTGACCTAAATTAATAAGCGTAAATATTACACACGTGTCAGTTCCTGACAAAATTCAGACAGGAACTAGACCTCTCGTGCATTTACCCGCTCACCTCGAGAGGTACTGGCAAGAAATATGGCCTACTTATTTTAAAACTGGCTTGCGATGGATTCGAGCACCGCACTTTCTGTGATATGGTTGGTTGGTTAGATATTCGTTAGCAAAAAGAATCTCACATATTTTTTTTAATAATGTCATAAACAGATATTATGGATTGTGTTCTTGAAAACACATGGTCTATCAATATCGATTTATTTAATGAGGTAGAGTTCACAGCTCTTCGTTGCTGGTATAAACATATTAGGCTCTTTTAAAATTACAAAATACTAGGCAGGTGGCAGTTTTGGCTGGCTCCTGATTAGATGGTGGTGAAATAAGCAAGTGATTTCATAAGTGGCATTGTCACCTGATAGTCATTATACAATTAGGTAACACTTAGTATTGTTCTTCTGCAATTTTCAACTATTTTCTTTGATGTTGGGCAGCTCAAACTAGTGATGAATAGGTATGTGTTGACCTTTAGTCAGGTCTCTGTTAGGTGGAGGCTAGTACTATAACCACTTCATATTAATAAGTCAGATTCTGATGCATTGTTTGACTCGTTTGCCATGCAGTGTAAAAACTGCACATAAGTATATGGTGATTCGCTTTGAATAAAAGAGGTACTAAAATTATTGCTAATAACAGAAAGGATTAGATGACAGGTTAGCTAGTGATGCTGACACAGTGGCTCACAACATACCATGTAAAACAGACAGACGCGAAGTTTCCTTAAAAGTTTAGTAAAAATGGTAACTGGCATAAAGGATCGAATCGAATCGAAGAAGACGACGAGAGCTGTCGTGAGATGGGAAGGAAGAAGAATAAGGAAGGATGGAAATAACTGGAAAAGGATGGGAAGGAGGGGAAGAGGAGGAATCAAGGCAAGTGGCCCAACCACTTTGGGACATGTGGTACCGAAGTACTAGAGGCGTAGATGGAGAGGCTTGAATGATGTCGTTACTTGGCTCTCGAGGAGAGGATGGCGAAGGCAGCAGCAGGAGCTGAGAGTGTCAGTAGGCAGCAAGCAGTATGAGTTAGTTATTCTCTTGATCCGGTTGTCAATGCTTTGAATTTTGTTCTAGAGAGTTGTGTCACACATATGGGAGAGCTGTAGAAGAGTTCGTTGGTTTGGAGTTGGTGGATTATCTGGTTGACTAAAGTAAATTTTATTTTTAGCACAACTTGATACACCAGTAATGTGCTACTTATTTATGATATATTGTGGGAACAAAGGCTAGCTAAGTTTCAGTGTCTCTAATAATTTTATATTCTTTGCTCGTAAGCATAAAAATAGAGAGTGCCACGATAAAAAAAACAATTTTATGAACAAAATAAACAGTTTGCTAGAAGTTTATAAGCTTCAAAATAAAGATTTGTGTTTAGAAGAATAAACATATTATATCACCCCTAAAGTATGAACCAGTTAATATAAAAGGACTATTGGGTCGTACATTTCATGATAAAGCTAAATGGAGATAATATAGATAATGGAGTACTCTCTTCATAAAAAAAATCTTCATTACCTGAAAATGTTTCTTCCTTTTCAGGTCATTAACTATATTTCAGGCAAGAAAACTTGTTAGGCTTAGCAACATGAGAACTTAGGTTCCAAATATATTTTGTAACATGGCTAACATGGTTAATATGAGAGGACTAGTATATGATGCTGAAGAATAATACTGCAAGTAACTCTTTGGTTTCCTTAGGCCTGTGTTCCTGAGAGAATAAACAAGGAATCTGACACCTGTCCATTAATAACAGCGTATTAATGCAGCCATTAGAAATTCTGAAGGGAAGGATGTGGAGGGTTAGGGACGAGGAAGTCACCATCTTGTATCACCTGATCTTCCTCACACCATGGTTCACTTGTCCTCACGTCGCTACTCTCTCCTGTCTCTTGCTGTTACTGGCTCGAACCGCTGCCATCCGTTGGTACCAGGGTTCTTACTCCTGTCATCCATTACTGTTGCAGTTACCAGGATTTGAACTGCTGCCCTCCGTATCTCTTAAGGTTACTGCCACTCGAACCGCTGGCTGCTGTAACTACTGCATTCACCAGGACAAGAACCCCTAACGTCCATAAATTACTTTTACTCTTATCAGAACTCAAATTACTGCCGTCCTCGTGGCCCTGCAACCAAAAGGACGGGTCAGCTGCAGGTGTTCTCACTAATGTTTGGGTTACTATCTTGGACGCACGTGTTCACCTTCCCCAGGTGATAAGAGCATCGCTAATTGAAGCTCTCATACAGAGCTGCATTACTCTGTCTATTTACCTAAATGATGATAATGGCGCTGAGAACAACAAAAACTGATAGTGTTCGTGTGGATGCAGGTTCCACGACACACCAGGTAGGAGGAGAGGAACGAGGGAAGATAAGTGGGACTACGAGATGCCACAAGGTAAAAAAGGGAGAAGTGACGGGGAAAAGGGATTTGAAGACGGAAGGAGGGATGGGGAAGATGGATAGGAAAGATACAAAGTGGGTGAAGTAAGAGAAGGAGAAAGTAGAGGAGGGCAGGGGAAATAGATGACTGGTGGAGAGGGAAACAGGTTGGGCGCTGGTGGAAACTGCTTATCACATGGACGGATAGATCGTTCAGCGCTCTATACATTATAAATCATACATTCCTTCACGACACACAAAACACACACTCTAAAACCAAAGCATTGAAATAAAGTCAAAAAGACTTCCTCGAAGCAATAAATAAATTTATATACAAAATTATCAACGATTAAAAATGCCATCAAACTAAGGACAATAAAAATGTCTTATAATGTCACTGAGGTCTCTACAGACAACATGGTGATTATAATGTCAGTGAGGTCTCTCCAGACAACATGGTGATTATAATGTCACTGAGGTCTCTACAGACAACATGGTGATTATAATGTCACTGAGGTTCTACAGACAATGGTGATTATAATTCATGAGGTCTCTACAGACAACATGGTGATTATAATGTCACTGAGGTCTCTACAGACAACATGGTGATTATAATGTCACTGAGGTCTCTACAGACAACATGGTGATTATAATGTCACTGAGGTCTCTACAGACAACATGGTGATTATAATGTCACTGAGGTCTCTACAGTCAACATGGTGATTATAATGTCACTGAGGTCTCTACAGATATCACGGTAATTTTAAAACCCATGACTAAACTAGTAAAATCATAGTCACAACATACTTTAAGATGTGGTTTACAGTCAACAGCATGTTGCACGCTGCACAGTAAGGAGAAGAGTTTCCTGCAATCACACCTCTATATGTGCGCTAAGTGGGCTTTAATCTATAATCTGCAACGAATCGTCTCACAGTGACTATTCGTTCAGAAAGAGGAGAGCCAGACACCACCTCTACAGCTGTCTCCTTGTCATAGGGCCATGTGGAACCTCGGCTTTCTTATAACATAGCCATATACTTGACTTAGAAAACACTATGCCAAAAGCCTGTGTTACAGCACACTATATAGCAGCTTTTATCTTCGCAACAATCCGTTCATTATGCGGGATTCAGACATAACTCAAGCAATAACAGAATCTCAGTACTTTGTGCCTAGAGTGTAGATGAGCCAACTACTCTTGAATACTTTGGTCCACGCGATTCACTGTGCACTTTGGGAGTCAGGGTAAAAAGTGATCAGGATGAGAGGAGCGAAAATAGCATGAAGTTCCATAGCGAACACAGCGGGATTCTACTGATAGCTGGGCACAATACAAATCCCTGTCGAGTGTCGCTGCAAAGTCCAACACCCATCTCACTCTTCGGCCTATCAGCAAAAATATTAATTCTTGACTCATCAGTCGAATCATGCTCGAAGAAAGGCCCCAAGTTCTTAGAGTCATCAGCTGCCCATGGGAAAGTGGCCAGGGGGAGGAAGGGGGGGGGGTAAAGGAAGAAGGAAAATTCTTTTCAGAAGTAACATGCAGGGCAACCCATGAGGGAAGGACTTATCCATACTTAGAAAGGTACAGGGAACCGCCAGCTCCCAGCCAGCGGAATATCCAAAGTCACTATATGGGAATCCTTAGATTTTAAATGGAGTGGAAAATCTAGCTTCGATAGGCCATCGGGTACACAGCACCAGGAAAACTGTGGCTACCGAACCACAGATATGTAGCGCCAGTAAGTCAGCAGTTGCTTAAAAATGGGCATACAGCGCCGGCAAGCTTAAAGAGCGAGTGGGTCATTATCTGTCAAGACTCGAATAAAAAGACACTGTTAAGCAGAACAAAATACCGCCGCAGGGCCCGTCACAAAGAGTAGTATAAACCGAACTTCCAGGTGTACTGTACCGGTGGGCGATTCTGTTTCGCGCCACAACTGTTAGTGATGCTTGAGTTTCCTCGTTCAGGTCAACATTATTACGACACAGGGGATACCCGAGATTACCTGACACCTGGTGTACATGCAAGGCCACAACCTAACTGCTTGCGTGAGACACCCGAAGATTGCGTTCGTCTCTGGCAGCGCCACTTACCAGTAGAATATGTAAATCAAGACAAGATCATATATCACAGTTTTTCCTATATCATCTGCCATGAAATATAACTAGGAAACTCACATGTTTCAAACGCACTCCTTGCAGCTAGTTAACTCCCAGGCACATGTAATAATCTTGTAACCTGTTTCATATCTAAATCTAAGATCGTAGCAGTTGTGGCAGACTGTAATTATACCTCAGTATACAAACAAATAAATATACTAAAACGTTCGATTAAAGGCTGAGAAACCACCTGGAGTGGTAGTTTGCGCATCCCTGTGTAGTATAGTTTCTGGATCAGGAGAAAAACCAGCTACAGCTGTAGCACAGGCCATGGCAACAAATAAACAATGCAGTGTTGTTTTGAGAAACGTAATGAAACCCAGAGAGAAGGCTTGACTCACTAGCCTCA